CTGCTCAAAGGGATAATATCCTCTCTTTGTCCTGTGCTGGCCTCTCTGCTCATTAAATTTCCTCTAGAACTGAAGTATGCAAGTCTACTGTGGCCATGTGTATCAAAGAAAGCCACCTGGACAAGGAAAACTCTTGTGGAGGACATCCACCTCTGCTAATAAGAGGGCTATCATTCAACATATCACTACAGGAAAGGCTAATAATGCTGTCCAAGCCACCCATTATATCAATTCCACCATCACCACCACTGTCTTTTCACAAACTGTGAGGAGTGTTCTCAAGGCAGCTCATCTCAAGGCAGTAACAAAGAAGGAATGCCTCTTCTCTCTATCAAACATAGGCAGAGAAGACTACCTTTGGCTTGGCCCATCAAAACTGGACTGTAGAGGATTGGAAGCATGTTATATGGTCAGATGAGACCAAAATCAATAGGATTGGGTCAGATGGGAAGGTATATGTATGGAAAAAGAAGAGGGATTTTCTAACAGACAGAGAGGTTAGTGAGACATCAAATTTGGAGGAGGTTCTCTAATGGTATGGGGCTGTATGGGATGGAATGGTGTGGGTATGCTTGCTGAAGTTGAGGGGAGGATGGATGCTGAGCAGTATGTGGACATTCTAAACAACCACTTGCTGCCTAGCATAGCTGAATCAGGGATTGATGAAAAAGACATTATTTCCCAACAGGATAATGATCCCAAGCACACATCTAGGAGAGCCAGACAATGGTTTAAAGAACATATTATCAATGTTCTTGACTGGCCAGCACAGTCCCCTGATGTCAATGTCATTGAACATCTCTGGGGAACACCCAAGAAGAAGCTTCAAGCCTATGAAACCCCCTCTAAAGGAGTATAGGAGCTGTGGGAGAGTGTAGCAGTGGAATGGGCAAGGATTACAGCAGAATATTGCCAGAAATTGATTGAGAGTATGCCTAGAAGGATAGAGGTAGTAATTAAAGCCAAGGGAGGTCACACAATGTACTGGAATACCTGATTATCACTGTAAAATACTTGAGTCAAAAAACTGTCCACATGAGTCATCATTTTGTAAGCCTTATATCTCCACCATATCTCGACCGATTCCCACGCCATAGGGCTCAATTGGAAGCCCTGAAGTAGTACTACAATGTGGTACCAGCATGTCCTTGATGTGTTTGTATATTCTCACACAATATCATAGATAGTGAAAAATGTGAAAACATGTGGACAGTTTTTTGAGCCACTGTATCTTCTTGCTCTTCCCGCTGACACTCATTCTTTCAAATGAGACCAAATCAACCACATCATCAAGGTACAAGCCTAAGACCGTGGAAGTATGATGACACAGATAGCAGTTTATCAAAGTGAAGCTGCTGAAGGTATGTGTTTGTTGTTCTCACACCAATCTGTCATTTGATGCTCGTTTTCCATCAGACAACATTAGGTTACCACTCCGTAACGCCAAATTAATCAATCTCCGTGCATATGGCTCACCTCAAGGAGTATTCTACCCCATTCTTCTTCAGTACTTTCGCTCTCTATGGCCTGACCTGAACCTTGTTGGCAATTTATCATGCGATAATGGCACCCCCCTTCTATGTGAACAAGGTAGCTCGTGCACTCACATACATTCACAAGGATGGCATTTGTTATGGCTGCACCATGAATCGACACATGCAAGCCGACTCATTTGCATTCATATCTCAAGGTAGAACTTGTGTCCCTGTGCAGATCATGGCACTATTTGTGGTCGGTGTTCTCAATGTCGTTCCTCATGTTTGTGCGGTGGTGCAGAGATTAGTTTCCGATGATAACATTCCTGCAATGCCATGGGACCTCAAGTAAAGTCTTTCTGTTAGCAGATACAAACACTCATCTTTTTTCAGTGCATCTACACTTGGTATTCATGTCTCCTATGCTGAACTGGGCCCTCAGGAAGTGATTCTGGTCTCATGGATTGAGTGCCCACTGGCACTGATTCCAGTGTACTCAAACATTATCAAAAAGGATCTATGGATTACCATCTTGTTTGACCATGTAAGTGTACAAATAACTCTCATGCAACAGTCTCAAAAAAGTCTGCAGGCAGGGAATGAACCTAAAGACTATTTAGAAGACGAAGATGGAGAGTAGATGAGGTGCACACTTTTCTGCATATCTAGTCACTGAACTCATCATCTGACTCTGCAGCAGGAGGCAGCTCACAAGCTTTGCTAGTACTTGCTACTGGCTGTGCTAGAGCAGGCATGCTCTCTCGTCCATTCTCTTTGTTGCTTATCATCTTTGATTTTCCTTTACCTTTCTTTGTCCTGGTTTCCTTCTTCTTCACCTCCATCTCCTCAATTTTCACGCGCTTCTTCGACACAATCAGCCTCTTCTGTTCCTTGACTCACTTCTGGCCTGCCACCATCTCCTCAGGATCCTTCGGATCTCCCCATGCGCACCCATTATCCAGGATATAACTAGGCAAGTCATACTTCTTGTTTTCTTCTTTTGCAAGCCACTCTGCTGATACCATCCATTGGCGCACTCGATTTTCGATTTTCTTGGCAGCTAAGATAGGAAGCTCTTTTGGATCACCTTTAACACGAACAGTGAAGCGAGGAGGTGGGTTTGGGTCCACCGCTTCATCCACTGCAGCCAAGAACTTCACCATCTTGAATTTGTTTGGGCGTGAGTGTCAATTTTGCCAGGTGTTATCGTACTTACAATATCACTCCGATATGTTCTAGCATGGGAAATGAAATGTCCAGTCTTCTGTCCCTGTGCATCAACCTCATCTTCATCTTGTGACATCAAGGACTCCATGAGTGCCATGCGATACTTCTCATCCCCAAACTCTGACCCTTCTGGCAGGTTCTCAAATTTTCGGATACAAACTTCAAGTTTCTATGGTGTACAGGTCAGTTATGATATTTATAATGATATGATGACTTATGCCTCTTGCACGACTCTGTAATTTAGATCATGAAGGTTTTGCGACTGTTACGGCTGACTCAGATGCAGGAGCATTGTTGACTGTACCTGCCATTGCAGTTGTGTTATTTGCAGATGACACACCGGTGTGGCTGCACTTTTTTTTCTGTAATTCTTGATATTTCTTGACAACGCGTTCATGCAGATCCTCTTCACTTATATCACGAAGAGCAGGACCGCTGCCAGTGCAAACGGTAGCACCATGCTGACGAATGTAAGCAATGACCTGCAGGATGTTGGCGTGATTATCAGAATGCTGATGAGATTCTGTCCAGCAGAACCGCATCAAACAATCATTGGTGGCAGGATCAAGCGGCCAGTTGTCGTCATCACTTGGGTATGGAGGAAGAACATCAGCGGTAAGCTTGGCAATTCCCATCAGCATCTGAAAAACAATCCGAACAACTGCCTGCAAATGGTGTAGTATGGTTAGTGCTACGATGTTCCCTTTTAATTCTACTGATCTGCGGACCTTTAGACCATTATCTCCAAATGCAAGGGCGCTTTTTTCAATCTTCTTGACATCTCTCTCAAACTCTTCATCGGTCTCAGCATCAGCCGCTTCTCCTCCATCAACGCGACTGTTGATACTTGCAACCATGCTGGCAACTTTCTGCTCAAACGACTCCTCCAAGCTCCTTATCTCAGCTTTCATCTCATTCTTCACTGCTTCGAAATGCTGAGCACATCTCATCTCCAGTGCATGGACTTCCTGTGCATGTTGCAGTTCCTGATTCTCCGCAAGATCTAGCCAACGGTTGATAGTTGCCATCTGGCTTAACACTTGTGAAACTTTCAACTTTTGAGATCCGCCATTGGTCTCTGTTAAGGCGCTCGGACCTGCACCCCCAGAAACAGAGAGTCTGTGATCAACAACAGGAAGGACTGAAGATGGGCGCTCGAACTCAGGACAGCGGGAAGGCACTAGTGTTGTGGCCGGAACAGATACTGGATGACCACCTGGATACATATGCGCCTCCACACCATGTGTACCAACCATTCCACCATATGGATGGCCTGCTGGTACGGCTGGAGGACTGTATGAAAGAGGAGTCAGAAAGTTGAAGTTGTATTCAGGGCTCAACTGCATGGAACATTGTGGGGGTGTTTGACGTGTCGTTGCTCTCAATCAGTTTGTCTGCCTTATGTGCAATGTCTCCAGTATCATTCTTCTATATAATTGAGCTCACTGCATTCGATCCCGAAGTGCTATGCATGTTTTCAAGCTATGTCAAAGCATGATTATAGCCTGAGGTGAATGTATCTATGTAAGGAAATTTTGTGTGAATTGTGGGGAAAATGTAAGGCAAACATGTGTTAGATTCCAGGCAAAGTCTGTAACTTCTGGTAAATTGCCCGACAAGAAGATCTAACAGAAAACATCGTGATATTTTCGTGAATTTTCACACTTTACCCACATTTTACCCAGATGGTATTCCGCCTTTGTAATGAAGCGTGTTTATGAGTGAAGATGAGAGAAAACAGATATTAGTTAGAATCGAAAATACAAAACTAATATCTCAAAGATGAGGGCGTGAGAACGCGCGTTTGAGGTAGGTGCACTGACGTGCGTTTGACGAACTTGGAGAGTGAAGGCTTAAGAACGAATCTGAGAGTTGGAGACTTAATATGTTAGATTTGTTTTGTGTGTGGGAAGGTCTGGCAAAGCCAGACCTCCGCAAGAAGGCGTGAGTCTGGGGCAGAGCGCGTGATACCCAAAACAGCCGAGAAGGACTGACTTGAGAAGTATCGGGCATGACGGAGACAAACCTTCAGAGCGCGATTAGTCTGAAATGCGCACAGACTAGTGGTCCGAGAGGAACACGAATACAGACCACCAGAGAGTGAAGCTCACAGCGGAGAGTGGTCCTTCGGACCTAACCCACACACTTACAGCTGAACGAAAGAAATGAAGCAAGTGAGAATGGATTTGAGCGATGTGAACATGAGTAACGACCTGTATGGTAAATGGAGACTTGAGGAGAGATGAAGTATTATGATGGTAGGGCCTGAATGGAGCGAGAGGGATGCTGACAGCGCGTGAAGGCATCCATGGTTCTATCTAGATCAAGTAAACGTTGTGTATTGGCTGTGGATGCGATGAACAGCGGCAGAATCGTGTCAATGCAACGCCAGTATTCCAAGAACGCATCTGAAGTCCATCTCCCCTGCATAGCAACAATATCCGGGTGAGTGCCCTGCAATAATAGCTCCGTAGTCCCTCCAATGCGAAACACATGGCCAGGGAGGTTGGGGAAGCCTTGTGCGACCCATATTTCATTGCACCGCGCGAGAAAGAGAGGACGAGTCATGGGAGACCATCCTGTACCCTTCTGGAATGAGAAAAGGGGTGCATGTGAGGGTATGTCGCAATTGATGAGGAGATGTCGTTCTAGCGCTGTTAAGGGGCAGGTGCGATGGTCTCGTGCCATGATGGATATGTCGGCTCCCTGTTCTTTAGTCGTCTTTGACCACGGGATGTGAAGCGTGGAGGCGCGAGTCTGAGCGTGATTCGACAACGTGATGGATGGAATGGGAACGATGGAACGGGAAACGTGTTTCAGAGGATCGAAAACATTGGGGCTAGCGATAAGGAGTTCGCCGAGACGGCAACAACACCAGAATGATACGAGAGCGACTGTGCACACGGCAACATTGAAGGCAATGGTGAGATCAAGATGGTCAAAAAGAATGCATAGGGCGTCTATGGTGACAGGAGGACGCTTGGTCCGACAAGAAGAGGTGGGTACCATCTTGGCGAATCCACGTCTCGCATGATGGAGAAGCGGAGCGGACTGCCATGAAGCCCCATTGATGACATGCCAGAATTGAAGACCTGCTAGCCAATTGTTGAGCGTCTTGTCTGAGGTAGTGCCGGCGAAGGCCGCTGCAAACTGGGCAACTAAGGTATCTGCAGCTGGCATGCGCTCTGCTTCTGGGATGTTGATAGAATCGCAGAACTGAGTGAATCGAAGAAGTCCCGCGCCATAGTTGCTGCGCGTGTCAGCGTCAAGAGAACGAACCATGACCTAGAGAGTCAAGTGTTGAGTAAAGAGATGATAGAGAGAGTGCGCGAGAAGGCGTACTTGAAAGAGACGAAAGAGAGAAGACTCGGGATATTTCTGCTCGAGGGCAGCTTGCCAATCCAGACCTGCTGGAGTGGACCAAAGGAGAAGTCGGTCACTCGCGAGAACGTGGGGCCAATGAGCTGACGGAGTGATGATAGAACTAGCGCGAGGAGGGCAAGGATTACGAGGGCGAGTTTGCTGAAGAGACTGTGAGACGGAATCGCGGATAGATGAGGGAGGATGAGTAGCCCAGAAGGAGGCAGCAGCCGCTTCGATGTCAACGCCCTGCATGACGCGGTGGTATAACTCGCTCTCATTCATGGACAAAGAAAGAGGAGATTTCTGGAGGTAGGGATGGAGGAGATGCGAGATGCAGATGGGTTGATGGAAATATACCCCAGGAAATGGGATCCACGAGGTTAGCTGCCGTGTGCACGTAAACTAAGGAGAGAGATAAGCGAGATTCTCGCAGGAGAGCCTCGGAACGGCGGATCGCGAGATTGATCATGTAGTTAGCGCATCTCCCTTTGCGAAAGGCAGCAATTACTCCCTGGTTGTTGCTCCTAATCAACACATCTGAATCTCGGATCTTCTTTACATGCAGTAGGCGAACTGCGAGTTCTATGGCTGTGGCCTCTAGCCACCTAATATCCCGTGAAGGGCCCTGCCATGTGTCTGTTGTGGGCCAATAGGCCCAACAAGCGTTCCAGAGAATGCCGATGCCTGCGCTGGTGGATGCGTCCACCCAAATCCCGAAATCCTTAGTAGGTGGAAGAGGAGAGAGGTCGAGTGGTATGGGTGGTGCGGTGAGAGTCTGGAGTCACCACTTGAGATCTGATCTGGTGGATCTGCTGATGTACCGTGAGACGAAATCGGTTGTGTACGAGGCGATGTCGGCGTATAAATTGGAGAGGTAGGATCTGCCGTGAGGATAGGGGAAGGATGAGTGGTTGAGGAAGCCCGCGATGCGTTCGAGATCGCGTTTTGGAACTTGTGAGTCTCGATAGTGCGTGAGGAAGTGAGAAAGGCGATCAATGTATTTCAGGCGTTTGCACTCTAGCAGAACGACTGTCTTGTTGGGAAGGTCCCACCAGAAGCCAACGTAAACGCCAGTGTCTTCGAATGGTTGGCCCTTGTCTTCGTGCCATGGCACCTTGGCGGGAGAGATGAGCGATTTTGCGTGAGAGAGATCATAGTCGTAGCGATATACTTGACCATGAGAAATGCCCAGAAACAAGCCATGAGGAGAAGGGAAGCGAAAAAGACCGATGTCGTCTACCCATTTTTTCGAAGGCTTAACTTTGAGTTCTCGCCAGATGTGGACTGTCGCGTCGGCGACTTCCCCTTGAAGGCCTGCTGCTGAAGCTAAGCCAAATGGGATGTTATGATCGATATAGAGTTTACTGTCATGGTAAACAATGAGATAGTGCTTGTGTTCGGGGGCGCACGGGATGCCACGATACGCCGCCTCGATGTCTAGCGTTGCGAGTTGTGCGCTGGGAGGGGCATTGCAAATCTAAGATGTGAGAGTGAGATGATGGAGTGATTGAAGGTGCGTCTGATGCACGAGGTATGTGAAGGAGTGAGAGATACATACAATGTCTGCGAATTCCACAGCGGTACCCCATTCAGTGGGATAGTCCGCAGCATCTATCTCATCATTCACCGAAAAACCCATGGAACCGCCATATGATAGATGTCGGCAGACACGATATTTATCTGGTGTGCCGTTGATGCCCTGTTTGACAACTACTTGCAGGGGTGAGGAGCAGAAATGTCCAATTTTGACGAAGAGTTCTTGGTGAGTGTATGGACCAGAGTATCGCCCTTTCACAAGTTCGTCTGCGACGTAGTCATCGCAGACGCTTTTGAAAACGTTAGCGCCGGGAAGATTAGAAGGGGTGTAAGAGTGCGTAAGTGGAGAGAGCTCGTGTCCGATGCAAAAACCATTGCAAAGTTTATACATGAGTTCTGGAAATTGCAATGTGAGGCCAGTGAGTGCAAGAAGCGTATCAAAACCGTCGGGAGAGTACGGTGTATTAATGTAAGAGTATTCGAAGTCGCTATCGTAGGGTGATGGAATATGCTGCAATTGATCATGATATACGTGTTGCAAAGAAGGAGGTGAAGAAAAGGAAGTGTCTGTGGGGCACGTCAAGAAAGAATCCTCTTCGGGAGGATCAAATGCAGACTCCCGAGAGAGCACTATGCTCTGCCCTTCCGCAGAAGGAGCAGAGGTGCTGCTCAAGATGCTCTCATTTGCAGGGGCGTCTGGGGTTGTTGAGATTGTATGTGACGCAGAGTTGCGAGCTGTTGGAGTGTCTGCAAAGAGAGCCGTCAGTGTACTTGGCGTAGGTTTGAGTGCCCTTCGAGGAGTTGTCTTCTGAACATGCTGAGAAACGATGTCCTGTGCATCCACAGATGATTCACATGGGATCCGTGGTCTTCGAGGATTTGTCCCGAAAGGACTGCACGTCAACGTCCGGAGATTTCTTGACCAGGGATTTGGAGGCTTCGCGATTATAAGGTTCGAATGAGAGGAGGCGGAGTGAGAATGACGATCGGGGAGCAAGGAGCGCGACATGACTGCCTGTTGATGAAAAAGAACGTCTTGCATTGTCTCATATTTCTTCTTCTGCAGACGGTGGTCCCATTCCCGCTGATCATGTTGGTGTGGGCGAAGAGCGTAGTTCTGTCATGTTTCCACATCAAACTCGATGATGGCGCGGAAATTCTTTCGTACTGCGTCATCCTTGGACAGCGTAGTGAAGTGATCCGTCCAGTGCTTGTGGGAGGAAGGGTCACCGATGTCTTTGATCCAAGTGAGATAACGCTGGTAGGCCTCTTGCCACGAAAGTGGGTCAAGCTCCAGCTCATTGTCGAATTGGGAGAGGTCGAGGAGATGATGTGATGTGCCGTCCACGTGAATTTTGGATCGCTTGAGAGAATGACCTTCGCGATGAAGGTGTTCGGTATTGAGATTGGTGAAGAGCGTAAGGGGGCAATATTGACCGGCGTTCAGGAGGTCTTGGATGAAGCTATGTATACCAAAGTTGTACGTGGAGTCTAGACCAGAGCCGGAAGGAAGCTCTTTAGATGAATCGAAAAGAACCTTCAATAGTGACGTAAGGTTGGGCCTGATCGTAGTCTTGGGTGTAATGATGGTAGAACCTTGATTCTGTGAAGTAGGAGACAGTTGTGCGAAAGCTGAGGTCCACTGCTGAAGTGCTGTGCCGGTGGGCCTGGGAGGTATGGGAATGAGGAGCTCGTCGATGGGAACGTTAGATTCCCCGTTGTCCCTGCGTTGTTGAAGGGCCTGATTGTCAGCGACGCGTCTAGCGTTATCTGCCAGAATTTGCTCATGCGACATATGCATGGCCGAGGAGGAGGCCGAAGTAGTAACGTTGATGGCAGGAGTAGTCGAAGTATTGCCTGTTGAGGCAGTTGCGGTTTGTGCGGTAGAGGAACCCATAACAGGAGTGATATGAGCCATGCTGTATGTGAGAGGTGTGTGTGCTGAAGGCGTGAACAAAATTTTGGTGAGCGATGCGCAAAAGGAGATGAGCGCAGAGAAGAAGGGGAATGAGGCGCCGATTCTCGAAACCTCATCCTTAAGTGAGGATCGAGTTGATGTGTGCTTCATTAACGAAGAAGCACCTCGAGGAGGATCTTCACGTGCACGCTTACAAAGGCCGAGTTTCGCGCGTCAACGCTCGCAAGCTCGCGATCCGCTTGAAACGGGCATGTGTTTGTGCTGTGCTACTTACCGCACTGCTCTCATAATTGTGACTCCGCACAGTGTTTGCCGCTCCGGCATTGTCGTCTCACAAGCATGTCACACTATGGTCACATCATGTGATGTTCGTCGAATTCGCAAGACCCCTACCTTACTTCAATATCATTAGCGCATCATTGAAGCTTTGTGCGATGAACTATAACATTGCTACCACCGATCGTTACACTGCGTAGCAGATACCACGTCAACATCACTCCTGCCATACGGATACCCTACCCTAATCTTATACTTAGCTTTACATACTTTTCGGGACACACTCGTAAGATCATCTAGGCACTCTTAGGTTGTGTCGCGTACTCGACCGCCGTATCGCGCAACTTTATTTAAGTGGGCTTTACAGCGTCATATTTCAACAAGCGATACTCCGTGACGTGGACTTCATATAAACATTTTATTGTATTTCCTACTATCAATAATGTACATGCTTGTTCAATGTTCTTCGACAGACATACAGATACATATGTGTTTTGTATACAAGATGATGATGATATCATGGATGTCAGGCAGACGCATCCGCACTTAAGCTTCAACGCTGGCCGTCTACAAGAACATGTCAGAAAAGACCAACCAGTTAAAGGTTTAAATAGGTGCTCACAAGCCTTGGTCTCGAACTTGCCGACACCAACAATGATGTTCTGAGGCTCCTGGGGCTTGCCAGTGAGGTAGTTCTCGATGATGCTCTTCGTCCCGTTTGCATAACGAGTCTGAGCATCGAGAGTGGTACCAGAGTAGTGGGGCACCATGCCGTTACCACCCCCAAGGACGTTCTTAGCCGTGCGCAACACGTGGTCTTTGGGTGCGGGCTGGACGTTCCAAACATCCCCGGCGTAACCTGTTCTCGTGTTAATTCGATATCCAGATATCGGGTGGTGGCATCACGAACCGTTCAGGTGACCGCTTGCAAGAGCAGCAGCTACGGCGTCCTTGTCGCAGATGGCCCCACGAGCGGTGTTGACGAGCCATGCACCCTTCTTGAAGTGCTTGAGAAGCTCAGCGTTCACAAGACCAATCGTACCCTCGTGCAGAGGGCAGTTGACAGTCACAACGTCGCACTGCGAGACGAAGTCCTTGAGGTCCTCCACGCGGCGAGCATTGACGGACTTAGCGGCAGCTGTAATTGCATCAGTGAAGCTGGAGACGAGCGAGTAACAGACTGGCACGAACCTTCAGGCAGGGGAGCGTAGTCGTAGTAGATGAGCTCCTTGCAGTCGAAGGGCATCAAACGCTGGAGGACGCGGTAACCGATACGACCAGCGCCGATGGTGCCAACGACCTTGCCCTCGAGATCGAAGGCGTTGCGAGCAATATCAGAGACCATCCAGTCTCCGCGCTCGATCATCTAAGGATGACGACAAATTAACACAGGGAAGCGCGCGTCAGCGGGTCGTCATACCTCGTGTGCTGGAACAAAGTTCCTGACGAGCAGGAGGATAGACATCACAACGTGCTCGGCGACGGAGACGACATTGGAGCCTGAGACCTCTAGGACCTGGATACCACGTTTGACGGCGGCGTTTAGATCGATGTGGTCAGAGCCGACACCAGCGGTCACACAGAGCTTGAGGTTCTTGGCCTATCAAGTGGACGAACCGTTTAGCATCAAGGATTCGATCTAGAAATATGATCATCATACCTTCTCAACCAACTCTGCAGTAAGGTACCCGGGGTGGAATGGGGTCGTGATCAAGATCTCGGCCTAAGATAGGAAATAAGCACCCGCGGATGGTATATATAGCTACAGCGAGGCTTGAACATACATCAACGATGTGCTTCTGGAAGTCGCTGTCAGGGCCCTCCTTGGAGTCGGACACCTAAACAAATGGACGGATTGAGCAACTGAACCAGCATATCAAGAGGAGCCTCGACACATACGATGAACTCGTGGCCTTGAGACTCGAGCCACTTGCGAATACCGAGCTGTACGGAAAGTTGAAAGTAAGCACGTCGTAGATAATGTATCATTCGAAACAAGACGAACCTGGTTCTCCACAGTACCGAGGAGACGGGGCTCGCTGGCAGCAGCCTCACCGCCCTTGTAAAGGATAGCGATAATCTAGAAGGGCGTCCGCCGTCAGATCTTGTAATTGATGACAGGGGGTGCATCATCACCTTCATGACTGGGTTTCTGTGGACTGGAGAAAGTTATGTGATTGTGAAAGGGAGGGTGGAGAATGGGTGTTTTCGTTGTCGAAAGTCCAGGATCTTTATAGGGGGGCGCCCTAAGCGCAAGCGGTCCTGCTGCGATCGGAAAACATCATCTGACTATGTGTGAGCCTGCCGCTCTCTGCACATCATGGTCTTCCGGTTCTAGCCTCAGGAAAGGGATACAAGCGATGTCACCGTCCATTCCATCTGCGCTGGGATCACGTGCTACGCACCCGGTCTCATCCATTTAGGCACACTTGTAAGTACGCCATTTAGAACGGTCGTTCCGGAGAGAGGCGCTCGCAGTTGTACTTGCGGATTAGACTCGTAACCAGTCTGACTATCCGTCAATTTGCTACACCACTCGAGCATCCGTGGTAGTATACGCCAGGCTGGTCGCGAGCCTACTTGCGGATGGGATCTGAAGAAACTATATATTACTCAAGCTATATACAGCGGACGTCCAAGTTCACGAGCAGGATAATAATAGCTTAGAGGGGGAGTTGTGATGTCATTATCCGAGTAGTCAGCTTCATCTCACGTTCGTACGGAACAAGTACTCTTTACCACACACACAAAATCACCCGAGTTGACCTGTTCACAGGTGTGACTAGGGATAGTATCATTTAGGCGAGTGTCGGACCGTGTCGGAGCGTCCCCGCGAGGACAATGGGAACTCCCCATTGTCGGTGTCAGCCTCTATGAGGTATTATTAACTGATGCCCGCAAAGCTATACTGTGAGGTGATCCATTAGTATATTATTATGGTTCCTGACCAGCGAACCCGATTGCTCACTACATACAATACTACCCCGAGCATTCTGATTCGGAGTACCTAATCATCCATAGGATCAGACCGGTTTGATGGCATCAACTCAACCTCCTCTGGTGCAGTGCTGTTGGATGTCTGTGATCTGTGTTGTGCATTCTTCACGACCTCCCATTCAACCCGAATGAAGACCCACATCCAACGTCGCAGGATTTCCGCGACCTCAAGCCAGAGCATAAGGGCACTTCCTTCCGACTGAGAATATAGATGACTTGAGAGCTTCATCGACCATGTCATACGGAGCACGAGGTTGAAGAACACAACCAAGGGATATACGGGAAGTGGGTAGAGGAGCACTGGTCGAAGTCCATAAGGGTATGACTGATGACGGTATATTGCACCACCAAGAACTTGGTGACTGGAAGATGGGTGAGATTGTGTGACATCGGGAGAGCCAGAAATGGAAGAGGCTTTCGAATGGAGAGACGGGAGCACGAGGGGTCGCGGGGCGCTAATTCGTGACTCCGCAGGTTGCGGCTTTAGAAGGTTAAGACCCCAATCATTGGTTAGATCCCACCAGAAGGAATACAGCGAGTTTAAAGCCGCAGCTAGAAGCCTAAATAATCAATGTATCATCACTTGACGATGTCAAATTTAAGAATCTTACCATAGGCGAAATAAGGGATGTTCACCGTGCCATGACTCCTGCGTGACCGATTCACCCTTCCCTTCTGCGAGCTCTAAGACCACAATTCTTTGAGCGGCAGAAAGGAATATCACCGGGAACGACGATGCATATTTTAGTGCATTAAAGAGGGGTCGCCTACTGGTGTTGGTAGGAGACCGGTGCTCAATTATGCACTGGCGGAAGCGAATTAGGTACGGTAAACTGACTCTTTGTGAGTACAGACTTGCACAGTTGGCGTGAGTAATGCATACCTCATCAGGGTTGGAAGTATCCATTGAGATATGCCATCGAGGGATGGGAGAGACAAAAGACTCCCGCCTGGAAGTAGCATGCACAGAGAAAGCCAAACATCGCCAAGGACTTTTGCGAATGACGTGAACACATCTGCGAAGACAACGTCCGAAAAATACACTGGGCTATCCACCGAAGAGAAGAGGCATCTTGCAGCGCTCCTGTAGGGAATAATTATAGCACTATCGTAAATGGATAAAAATGACACCCTTACTGGAAGAACAGATCTCGCTCGCGTTTTTGACACATTTCGTACGGGCATATCAGTGCTATTAGTACACCCAAAGAGCATACTGCAGGGATGTATTTGAAGGCATCCACAAGTATAGTGTTCGAGTGAGTGGCGAGTCTGAAGAAAGACCATCCGACAAAACACCAAGTTGCATATGTCATGAATAGACGATATACGGGCATATAAGACACTCGTGCAGACGAATGTGCTCGTGAAGGCGGAGAGGTGGTAGGCAAAAAAATACGACCGGAGTGCAACTCTAGTGCTGACGATGCATCAATCCCGAGCAG